TGTTAGAAACTTGCATCTGCCAGGTTGCACTCAGACCCCTGGGGCTGTAGCTTTGCTGGCTTCCTTCATACTCTAGGCCTCTGGATGGCTGGGAATTGATACCCACCCATGCCCCCTCAGTACCCTTGGTAAAGAGTCTGCTTCTCCTTTGCTTGAGGACTTGCTCAGGAGGCCAGCGCCTGCTCTGCCCACATGTACACACAGCAACTGGAAGTGTGGGAGTTAGATATGCAGGAGAAATAGCAGCTTCAGGAGCCAGCAGTGATGTTTGGAGTTGCTGGACAGATGTCCTTGCTCCCTTACTTGTCCCTCTGGTGGGATAACTCTGAGGCAGGCACTCTGTGTGTTTCCAGAGTCACCTGTGAGATTGAGCTCCATTTGCCACAGTGGAAGCTTGTTGCAAATATGCCCTTGGTGGGATGGCTTCTCATCTTTGCCTCACCCCCACACTGTGGTTCCTGGATTCACTGCCCAAATAAACTGTTGATATTTGAGTCTTTGTCTCAGGGTCTGCTTCTGCATGAACACAAATGAAACACTTGCCTCTGTGGGCTTTAGGGACTATATTCTCCCTTCCCTCTACCTTTCTCTCTGTTAGATAAAGGATATATATCAGTAGACATCTTGGAGTTTCTCTGCACTCCAATGGTGATCTTGGACAGCTCTACAGTGGAGAACACAGAACCAGAGACACTAGCCATTTTCCATATCCCTCTATCTCTAATCCAGTCTGAGAGCAGATAGTACCTCACCTCTCACTTGTATCCCCCACCTGTAGCCAGGATGTGCCCATCAGGGGCCCTCAGACCCCTGGGCATCTCCAGAATTGTTTGAACATATCTCTGTCTCTTTCAGTTCTTTAACCATGATTTGTTTTCTCATCACAAGAGCATCAGCTACTCCCAAGGGAAGAGAAGCAAAAACCTCTCCTCCCTCCTCTCCAATCCCTTCCCTTTGGGGTTTGCAGTTCCATTCAACAGGTGTTAATCATCACCAACTGTAGTTGGGGGTGGAAGAGCCTTGGGGATAATCAAAAAGGAAGGCTCAGCCCAGCCTGCCTGTTTTCTTTTGCTTCCCGTTCCTCCACACAGGCTGTTCCTTGTGGTATTCTGTATCTTATCCATAGGAAATACTAGAACGTCTTTAGGGCAACATCTTATTCATTTTACCTTGATCTCCTCACACACATCTGGCAGGGGTATGAACAAGGTGAGGTGGAGATGTTCCCCAGGCAAGAAGAAGCCTATACACCCAGCGAAGGTCTTGACCATTCTGCAGGCCTTCCCTGGTCTGAAGGGGACTTGAGCTGTCATTAATATTGTTCTGTGATTATCCATGACAATGAGCCTGCCTTGGAAATATAAACTAGTCAGTGCTGCCTCACAGAAGCGTGTGAGCCCAGGAGTGTGATTGTGTCTGAGACCCGCTGAGCCCTGGGGGCTGGAAAGGAGCAGGATGATGACTTAGGCTGCTTCAGAGAGTGTGGGGCTGAGGGAGACCCCGCTGTGGGGCAGGGTACAGGCATGTGAGATGGCATAGCCCCTCCATTATCCACCCCTGCTGGCCGCACTGGATGCTAGTTCCCAGGCCCCGGGGCAGCCTGCTTTCTTACCCTCTTCTGTCCCCCTTCCATGGGGAAGTAGGCCCAATGAAGGGAGTTTGACTTCAGGCCTAGTCCAAACTTCCAGTCCTCAGGAGCTTGGCAAGACCTGGGGGCAGCCAGGACTCCCAGTCTGCCTGACATTTGCCATGAGGGGTGGGTGGGAGAGGACGCATAGGCCAGCATCACTGATTTACTCTGCTCCAGTTTGGAATTTGGCCCAGGCAGTGCAAGGGCATCTATGTAGAAAGAGCATGGTGAGTGGTCCAGGGAATTCTGTTGTTTCTCAGCATACATCCTCCTCAGCCAATGCCTTTGTCTCTGTTCTTCTCACTGGGCCTCCCAGGCTCAGAATGACAAAATAAAGGGCAGCAGTGACCTGGGATTGCTCTACAAGGCCACCACCTCAGGCCATCTCCTACTAGGTGGTCCTGGAACCTGTCCCTGATGGAGTTCAAACTAAGCTGGCCCTGGGAGCAGGAGAGAGGAGCTCAGGGTTGGTGCCTCATTAGCAGATTCATCAACAGGAATCAGGGACCTGCTGCGATCAAAAGCCCTCTTTGGGCTTCCCTGCCCCTTAGTCAGTTAGGAAAGGAGTGAGAGGTGGTCAAGGCTCCCACTTGAAAGGACCACAGTATAAAAGAGAGGGAATGGGGACGAATGGAGGGAGGGTGACATCCCTGAAGAAAGCAACCTTTGGCAAGGAAGGGTGCTGGTGGACCCTCCCCCATCATCTTGATCAGGGGACAAGAAGACCCATCAGCATTTCGTAAGGTCCCTGTGGAGGAAAAACGTGCTTTCAGGAGGAAAAACAGTTTTCATTTTATTATTTTTTTGTAATTTTATGAGCAAAAACATAGCAAGTCCCTCATGCCCCTGATATCACAGATGCTACAACTTAGCATGAAGCCAAGGCAAAGACTAACTTGATTTTAAATTACATGGAGAAAAACATCAAGTAGCAATGAGTTTGGCAGCGCTTGTCACAGTGGCATGCTTCTGATGGAAATCTGGGATGTTGATCTTAAAGGCTCTCAGGGCAGTTTCACCATCCTTATTCTCTCCCCTATCCCCCTGCGGTAGCCTCTCACCTGTCCACCATGCCCTCCTCCCCTGCAGCACCTTCTAAGGTCTGCCTGGCTTCAGAGATTTCTAGTGACCTTTAGCCATGCTTTCCACCCTACATCCCTCAACAAAAGTGTTCTGTAGAGGAGTAAACCTGGTGCATTTGTTGTCTATTACTGCATAAAATAATTACTCCAAACTCAGTGACTAAAAACAACCAGGCTCATATAAGGCACACAGTTTCTGAGAGTCAATTATCAGCGAGCAGCTTAGCAGATAGTTCTGGCTCAAGACCTGTCCTGAGGCTGCCATCAAGATGGCACCTGGGGCTGCTGTCATCAGAAGGCTCAACTGACCCTGGTGGATCTGCTTCCAAGGTAGCTCAGCTGGCAAGTAGTACAGGCTGTTGGCAGGAGACCTCAGTTCTTCTCCATGTGAATTTCTCCATAGGGAAGCGTGAGTGTCCTTATAACACAGCAGCTGGCATCCCCTGAGTGATGATACAAGAAGAGAACAAGGCAGAAGCCACAAGGCTTTTATGATGTAGCCTTGAAAGCTATGTGCCTCTTTTCTGTCATAGTCGATAAGCCACGCAGACCAATCGCCATGCAATCTGAGTGGAGACTGCTCAAGGACATGAGTACCAAGAGGCTGGGATCATTAGACACTATCTTGGAGGTTGGCTGCCTAACATATGTGGCCCCAGCCTGAGTCGACTCAAGTAGGGCTCATCCTAGAAAGTGTCCCAAGTCCCTCCAAGCTGCATTTCCCAGAAATTGTAGCCACAGCACCCCTTTCTATAGACAGGATCTGAAGCCATGAGACATCAAAGGAACATGCTCTGGAAGACCCTGGCCTAGAGAAGAAAGTCTAAACTCTTTCCCCTAGCACGTCTGGCAGGAACTTCCTAGGCAAACTTTTCTTTCCTTGTTTCCTTTTTGTTTCTTTTGGTTTGTTCCTTAGTTTTCTGTTTTCTTTTGCTTTTGTTTTTGAGATGAGGTTTCCCTGTGTGGCCCAGGTTGGTCTTGAACCTTGAGCCAAGTAATCATCCACCTTAGTCTCTCAAGTAGCTGGGACTGCAGGTGTTTATGCCACCACACCTGGCTCTTGCTTCAGTTTTTGAAATCTGTGATCCAGTGGCACTAACCTTCACACATACAGCCATTTCCTAGGTTGTTGGATTTGCTCTTTTGCCTACTCCACCTGTTGAGCTCCTACTTATTCCTCAAGGACCCAGGGAATAAGCCACCATCTCCATGAAGTCTTCCCCTCATGTTCCACAAAAATAATTAAATTTTTCTGTTCTTTACTTCTTTAGTTTTTTTTTTTTTTTTTTAACCCGGGACATCTTTTGGGAGGGAGCACCTACCACTCTGTCCTGTGTTCTGGCTCTTTCCATGAACTCCTTCCCCTTCCAAGCATTTAACTTCCAGCCCCATTTGTTTTATATGCCCAGAGCTTGTACACCTTGGAGTTCAGGAGATGCCTGGTGAATGGGGCCTTGTTCTTCTCTTCTTCCTGCTCTTGCCCTTGTCTTGTTTCTGGGTGCGGTTTCTGGTGAGCAGGGGGAAAGGCCTTGCCAAAGCCAGACTAGATGGTACTTATGCCTAAAGGAGCCATGGTTGTCTTTCTTAAAGCTGGAGGCAAGTCCTCCTATACCTGAGAGGGGTATTCCCCTCCCTTCAGCATAGCTCAGGGGTCAGGTTGGGCAGACTACTGGACTGGACCCAGTTTGATGTCTGTCATAGTTAACAGACACCATCTTTTCCCAGGCAATGCCAAAGATTCATGAAAGCCTTAATTGTCAGCTGGGATTCAGTGGGAAACTTGTTCCAGAATCTCCTAGGTGCCCTTTTATGCCCTGACAGGTGATCCCAGGGGCCTCTGGTCAATAAGATGGATTGGTTTGTACATTTGATTTTGGAAATGAGCCTTTAGAAAAATGGAGACCTCAGTTCTTCGCCAAGCTTTTTATTTCCAAGGGAGCAGGCTAGGGTCATCTCTTATTCCCAAGAGAGCAGACTAGGGTCACCTCAGGGCTGGGAAGCTTCTTTCCAGAATCAAGATGGGCCTGGCCAGGATGGAAGGAACCAATCAATTTGATTTCTTGCCTACTCTTTTTTTATTGTTTTGGCTGTACTGGGGTTTGAACTCAGGATCTCATGTTTGCTAGGCAGGTGCTCTACCACTTGACTCACTCTGCCAGCCCTCTCTTGTCCACTCTTGAGGTGTTTGAACCAAGCTGTGGCCAGCATGCCTACCTGGTCAGTGGTGCTGGGGTCTTTCCCAGTGGAAGGCCCTTCAGTGATTTTTTCCAGCTTCTTTCTTCCCACAGTGGCGTGGGCCTGGCACGAGCCCATTTTGAGAAGCAGCCCCCTTCCAACCTCAGGAAATCCAACTTTTTCCACTTCGTGCTGGCCATGTATGACCGGCAGGGGCAACCTGTGGAGGTGGAGCGCACAGCCTTCATCGACTTCGTGGAAAAGGACCGAGTGAGAGGCTCGTGGGCTTACCTGCATTGGGAGGGATGGGAGGGCTGCAGGGAACACACACACACACACACTCATGCACTTGGCACTGAGGCAGATGAGTAGGTAGACATGAATGAGTAGAGAAGGGTTGGTGAAAGACTGAAGGGAAGGAAAGATAGTGTAGGTAGGGAGGGTGGTGTGAGTGAAGGAGGCACGAGGGTCTCTGGACACCTTAGCATCCTCCTGTCTTGTCCCTGCAGGAACCTGGGGCAGAAAAGACAAACAACGGGATCCATTACCGCCTTCGCCTGGTGTACAATAATGGTAAGTGAAGGCCACTGCCTAGTTTGACCTTGACCCTGACCCAGAAAATGTCTGAGTACTACAGCCCTGCCGTGAGACGCATAATACCCCTCATCAGGGCTGGGGTGAGTGTGGATGTGGTCTGGTCACCAGAGACCCCAAGTGCTGCCCTGATGGCAAGACCTGTTCACATCCTCATCCTAGGACTTCGGACAGAGCAAGACCTCTATGTACGTCTCATCGACTCCATGTCCAAGCAGGTGAGCCAGCCCAGGGAGTACTCAGGCCAGCCTCGCCCTCTAATTCTCCACCACCTGTCTCCCCTTGGCCTGAGTGAATGTTGTCTCCCCTGTCCTTATCTTCCCCATGCTTTTCATCCCTTCTCCTAGCTCCCCCAGACCCACCCCCTGCCTACTTAATGCAGGAGGATTATGACTCTTGTCTAGAAAAGACAATATTTGTACAAAGAGCCTGACTTAGGCCAGCCTGAGACAGGAATTCAGATGCATGTCGTTTATTGGAGAACTGGGAGGGGCCTCCTCAGGAGAAGGAGAGGGAGCGAATCTGCTCAGCAAGCAGGTGGTCCAGGTGGAGTCCTGCCTCAGCCTGATCCATGGGGGAGTGCTAGAGAAGGAATGGCACCAGAGTTGGCCTCCCTTGAAACAAGGAAGCCAGAATTTTGCACCCTGTAAGAGTCAGTCATTGCCTGGAGGCCACTCCGAAGGGGAGCATGCACACAGTAGAGCAAGTTCTCATCTGAGAACAATTTCAAGAGAAAGCCCTCCACAACCAACCCTAATCACAGAGGGGAGCTGGTGCACTGGTTCAATAAAGAAACTGCACTGGTGTGGCCCCAGGAGTTTCTACCCTCAGCACCTCACTGATGTGCTGGTCTCAGGAAGGAGGCCCAGGAGCCAGCATAAGCAGCTCAGGGAAATTGAAACCTGCATTAGCCCTGAAGGATTCTACAGGCACACCCACATTTCAGGGCTTCTCAGAGAACACTAAGTCAGGAGGGCCTTGAGTTTAAATGGGCCAGATCAGTGGGCCTGGAATGCAAGGTGACAACGTGGGCTTTCCTGCTCAGACAGGGCTTTCCAGAAGCCTCCACCCAATCCCAGAGCAAAGGAAAAAATGCTTTGTGTCCAGAAAACCTGTGGTCACTGTGGTAGGGGAGGCAGGCCAGGCAGCAGCAAAATGGGACTGTGTGGAGGATAAGTATGGAAGGGGTTGGAAGAAGTCCATAGAGAAAGGGATCCCACAAATGGAGGAAGGCTGGGAGGCCCAGAGGATTGGAGACTGGGAAGCCAGATTTGCAGTTTAGGAAGCTTACTCCTTGCCCAGGGTAGAGGGAGGTTGGGAGACTGGGGAGGAGTGGATTCAATAATCCAAAGAGGAGACTGGCCTGAGCTGGGAGGTGATAGGGAGGTAGGAAAAGGTAGTTGTTTGGTCCTTGATTTTGATTAGTTGGCAGGGATAGCTGAAAGTAACAACATTCATGGGTGAGACAGATACCCACTGGGAGCATGGAAACAGGGAGGATGCTGGGGCAAGGGGAGGCGCATGAAACAGAGTGGGGATTAGAGCATGTCTGCCCCATCAGCCTTGATCCTAGTGGTCTGGGGACCCTCCCTGGCTCTAAGCAGATAAACACTCTGCAAATCTCATGCCATTCTTGCCACCCTGATGGTGGTCCTGGTTTGGGGTAAGGGGTTCTCCTCCACCTGGGCAGCAAGACTCCAAACTTCTGCTTTGCACCCCTGGGCTCCCCCAGAGCAAAGTAGAGGGCATGATCTTCTCTGGGAGCAGGGCCTCCCCTCGGCCTGGGCTTGGGAGATGCCAGTGTAGACCCACAGGCCCACCTCTGTGCCACCACCTGGACTTCAGAGGAACCTCCTTCCCCTCCACCCTGCGCACTTCCCCCTCCCCCAGGCCATCATCTATGAGGGGCAGGACAAGAACCCTGAAATGTGCCGAGTGCTGCTCACCCACGAGATCATGTGCAGGTGAGATGGACTGCGTCACCTGCACCATGCCCCTTTGCAAAGATGTGACCAAGCCCTCCCACCAGGCCCTGCCCTCTACTTCACAGCATCCCTGGCTCCCTGTGGAAGCTGGGGGAGGGGTGGGATGAGGGAGGAGTGAGGCCCCTGGGCACAGTGCTGGCAAAGGAGAGGGTCCTTGAGGCCCCATTAGCCTGGCCTGTTTATGTGGCTTCTCCAAGTGTTTTTGTAAGAGAGGCCTCCTGCCGCTACTGGAAGCTCTAATAAAACTCAGGGGAGGGGCTCTTTGGGGAAATGGGGGTAGGGCTTGGGCCAGGCAGCCCCCAGGCCTCCAGGATTACCTCCAGGGCTGGAAGGAAGAAACTTCATGTGCACCTCAGTACACCTCTGGTGGGCCGTGTGGGGGACACAGCTTCTGGCTCCCTCTTCCCCATTACTCCGAGTTTGGCATTGCCAGCAAGGGCTCCCTGGGAGCCCAGTCTACAGGCCCTTGGAGGCAATTCCTGATACATGGAAAAAAGAATGGTGTTTCAAAACCTGTGGTTGGGATGATGGCCACCTTTGGGAGATGAGTGACAAGGAAAGGGCATAAGAGGGCTTCTGGGGGTCACTGGTTACAGGGGCAGGTTCACAGGATGATCCTTCTGGCAATCATTCATGAGCTACATGCTTATAGTTTGAGCTCTTTTCTATATGCAAAAGATGCTTCCTTAATAGTGTGAGAGCCTCTGCAGGTGTCCTGCCTCCTGTCCTGCCCTGGGTCCTCCAGGATCAATGTGATTTGAGGATCAGGATTTCCTGGCCAACCTTTTCCCCAAGACTAAGCTGTCAAGGTCCCTGCCAGGATCTTTCCTGCCTTTGTCTCCCCAGATCCCTGAGAGTAAGCCCTGTGCCTAGGAATTCCATAACCAGATACAGAACTTCCACATCCACACTCTCACTCCTCCCATCCCCCACCCCCCCACCACCACACACAGACTCACTCCCTCTTTCCTGCTTCCTCCTCCCTTCCCTCATCTTTCCTTCAGCCGTTGCTGTGACCGGAAGAGCTGTGGCAACCGGAATGAGACGCCCTCAGACCCGGTCATTATTGACAGGTACAGGCAGGGGGAGGGGCCTGGAGCTGCCTGGGTGGAGGGCTGGCAGCAGGAAGGGAGGAGCACAGTGGCTTCCAGGGCACCTTGTGGGTGGCGCTGAGCCAGAGACCTGGGAGGTGCCAGCCATGGCCCCCTGAGTGAAGCCCCTGGTGGGAAGCTTTCTGAAGCTGCGTCCCCTGACTCCCCTAGGAATGAAGCCTAGGAAGGTCAGGATGTATTTCAGGAGGTGGGCAGGAAGGGAGGAGGTGAATGGGTACCCAGGGAGAGGCTGCGGACAGTGAGGCTGGCGTGAGCAAGTCTCTGGTCCTCAGCACTGATGGACTGGACGTCTCTGAATGTCCATTTCCTTCACTGCAAAAATGAGGACCACTTGGCAGGTTTCAGTCCTAGGACTATCAGGGTGATGTATGTGAAAATACATTCGCCCACTCTGCTCTTCATGTTTTAAAAAATCATGTTATTATTTCTTTCTGAGTAGGAACTGCAAGGTAAGTTGCACAATTCAAAAAATAGAAAAGCACAAATAGTGAAGTCTGCCCTCCCTGTATATAGCATGCTGTACACTCTTTTACACCTTACCTTTTTTTTTTTTTTGGAACAATATACCTTGAATATCATTCCATTTGGGAACATAAACCATACCTTATTTTCTTTTTAATAGCTAAAACATTCACAAGATGCAAAAATTCACAATGTTTAAAAGAATTGACAGGAAATGTCTTCGCCTCTGCCTCCCACCCATCCATTCCCCTCCAAATAAGCAGCTGTTGTTATCAGTTTCTTCTTCTTCTTCTTCTTCTTTTCTTTTTCTTTTCTTTTCTTTTTTCTTTTTCTTTTTTTTTTTTTTTTTTTGCTGTAGGGCTTCAACTCAGGGCCTACAACTTGAGCCACTCCACCAGCCCTTTTTTGTGATGGCATTTTTTAAGATAGTGTCTCATAAACTATTTTGCCCAGGCTGGCTTTGAACTTCGATCTTCCTGATCTCTGCCTCCTGAGCTAGGATTACAGGCGTGAGCCACTAGCACCTGACTCAAAAACTTTTTTTTTTTTTTTTGGCCAGGGCCTGCCTGGAACTGTGATCCTCTGGATCTCAGTCTCCCAAATAGGATTATAGGGATTAGCCACCAGCATCCAGCTTGTTATCAGTTTCTTATGTGTTTGTCTTGAAATACTCTGTCACTTACAAGAAAATACAGATATAAAGTATCACACCCCTCCCCTTTTTTTTGAGACAGGGTCTCACTCTGTAGCCAGGCTGGCCTCAAACTCTCAATCCTCCAGTCTCAGCTTCACCAGTACTAGGATTACAGGTGTGCACCACCATGCTTGGCATCAGCATATTATTTTTATAATTTTCCCTTTATTTTTATGAAAGTGGTGGCATGCTAAACACATTTTACAGCACCTTTCTTTTTCTCTGAAAAATATATCTGGAAGTTTATATTGAAACAGAGGAAGTCTCCTTATTCTTTTTTTGCTATTGCAAAAGATTACTTTGGATAAATATACTATAATTTCTTTAAATAGTCTGTTATTGCTGGACATTTGGGCTGTTTTCCCGGATTTTAAAAAAAATGCTGTCATGAATTACTATGCCCATGTCACTTACACATGTGCAAATTTATATGAAAATATTATTATTTGTTTTATTTTTGATTTAGCATACATTACTAATATGAGGTGATTTCATTGTGTGATAATTCCATACATGCATACAGTGGACTTTGAACAAATTCATCCCCTCCATTATATTTCCATTCTCTCTCCCTCCTCCTTCCTTTTTCAAACAGTGTTTTGTGAGTTTCATTATACCATCTCTATACCGCCAACCTCTTCACCCCTCAGTATCCCTTTCTCTCCTCCTTCCCCTCCAGCTGATCCCTTCAGACAGTCCCCCATTTACATTCATGTCCCATTATTATTATTATTATTATCATGATCATGAAGGATATTATTAAAAGGAGAATTGCTGGTCCACAGGACATAGGCATTTGTAATGTTGATAGTTATTACCAATTCACCCTCGGAACTGGAATTGGAATTGGAATTGGAGGTTATGCCAATTGCATTCATACAAGCAATTTTGAAAATGCTTGTTCCCCACACTCTGGCCACTTAAGTATTTTGTTTATTTGTTCAATAATTTTTGAACATCTTTGCTGTGCTAAGGTCTCTTCTATATGCTCTGGATTAAGCAGTGACCACAATAAACCAAAAGCCTTGTGTTCTTAGGCTTACAATCTGGTAAGGGGTGATAAACATAAGCTAACAAGATGAGCAAACCATAGCATGTTAGATGGCGATGACACCAAGGAGGAAAAAAACGAAGCCATTGAGAAAGATCAAGGAACACCTAGGGAGGGAGTATTGCAATTTTAGGACATTGAAGCCCTCACTGGAAAGATGGCATTTGAACTGAGACCTGAAGGAAGTAAAGGAACAAGCATGCATGTACGTAGGAGAAGAATTCTCAACAGGAATGTGTCTGATGTCTTTCAGCATCAGCAGAGGCCCAAGTGGATGGAGTCAGGGTAGATGGAGGAGATAATATCAGAAGTAATGGGTGGGGCAGGAGTAAGGCTAGACCATGCAGGGCCTTGTAGGACATGTGCTCGTGCCTCTTGGACTCTGCAAGAACTTTGGCTTTTATTCTGAAGGCTATAGAAGCCATAAGGGGGTCGTGAGAAGAATGATAATATATATTTTAGTTAGAGCACTCTCACTGCCATGTTGACCTGGGAGAGGCAGGGAGATGAATTAGGAGTGATAACAATGATCCAAGTGAGAGATTGGTGGCTGAGACCAGAGATGTTATAGGGGAAGGAGAAGTATTTGGATTTTGCTATGAAAGGAAAGAGAAGAAACAGAGAGAGAGGGCAAAGTCAAAGGTGTCTCCAAGGTTTCAGATGTGATCAACTTGGAAGGTTGCAGTTTATAAGGAGATTTGAGGTGGAACACGTTTTTAGAAAGGAAGATTGGGAGTTTGGTTTGGCCTTGTTATGTTTAAGATGCTTAGTAGAAGCCAGGTGCAGTGGCTCATACCTGTAATCCTAGCTACTCTGGAGACAGAGACTGAGAGGATCACAATTACAGGACAGCCAGAGCAAAAAGTTAGAGAGACCCTCATCTCGAAAAAAAAAAAGAACTAGGTGTGGTAGTGAGTGACTGTTATCCCAGATACACAGGGAGCATAAATAGGATTGTGGTCCAGTCCAGTCCAAGCATAAACATGACACCGTATTTGAAAAAAGCTAGAGAAGAAGGATAGGAGAGTATAGCGCAGTGGTGGAGCGCCTGCCTAGCAAGTGCAAAGCCCTGAGTTCAAACCTCAGTACTAAAAAAAGAGAAAAACAAAAAAAAAGATGCTTACTAGACTTTTAGATGGGAATGTTGAGAAAAAGGCTTGGATCCCAAGAGAAATATTCAGGCTACAAATTTGAATGAATGAAATCATCGAGGGAGTGAGTGTTGATAGAAAACAGAAGAGAACTGAGAACTGAATCCTGGGTGTCCAATGTTTAGAGGTCATGGAGATGAGAAACAAGCAAAGGAGACTGAGCAGTAGCTGCCAGTGAGGTAAGAGAAAAGTCAGGGTAGTGTCATATCCTGGAGCCTCCATCATAAAATGTAAAATGTTCCAAGGAGGCAGTAGGCAGCTGCATCAAATACTGCTCAGAGATAAGATAAAAAGACAAAGAATTAACTATTAGATGGGGCAAGGTGGAAGAGGACACCAGTGACCTCAACAGCAGCATTTCAGTAGAGTGGAGGGGCAGGGAGTGAATTGGATTGTGTCTATGGGCAAATGGGTGGAGAGATCTTAGAAACAACAAATAGGGGAACTCGTTTGAATTTTACATTAAATGATCAGGCTAGAGCTCAATGTAAGGGCAATAGAAAATACAGCTAGTTCGTATGATAGTGAGAAACATCCAGTAGGGAGGGGAAATGAAGATGCTAGAGAGGGGGGACTGCTAAAGTAATCCTGCAGTTGGCAAAAGGGGTGGAATCTAGCTGGGAGTGTAGACAACACTACAACAGCAGGGAAGACAGAACATGGACTGGAAGAGGGTCAATACCCCAGCCTGGGAGTTTGTTGACATTCTCTTCTAATTGTTTTGCTTTCTCAGTGAACTAGTAAGCAAGGTGAACAGTTGAGGGTGAGGATGGAGAGGGACATTCTAGAGGACATGAAATAGTTGTCCAGGAGACAGAGGAACTGAGAAAAGTCACATGATTGTCAAGCAGCACTTATGAGCCTGCCTCAGGTCTGGTCAAAGATTTAGTGAGAACTTTCTCTGACCGTGCCTAGCTACACAAGTACAGCTGAGGAACAGGTGGGTGGTTGCATGAAATCAGAGTTAAGGTTTTGCCAGCTGAACACAAGGAACCAGAGAAGACAAGAGCGTAAAAAGCATATGCAATGTGGTGTTTACAGAAATGGAATAAGGAACGTAAAATGACTAAGAAGAGGACTATGGGAGAGTGAACACAGCTTCTGATGGAGCCAAAGGATTGTTGGAGTTGAGGAGCTAGACAGGACTTGAACTGGAAGTTAGAAGGTAGGAACTTATTCCTCCCTTCCATGGAGAAAAAAGGTGCTCAAGGAATGGAAAGGAGAGAGTGTTGGTAGAATTATCTATATTGATATTGAAATCACCAAGAATTTTGGCAGAACCAGCGTTCAAGAGTGTATAGAAGTGAGCCAGGAGCAAAAGCTTTAAGGAATGAAGGCGTGTGATCTCAGGGTTGATAAGTGACTGTCACAACAGTGGTTACCATAATTTTTCCCTCTTCATCACATACTGAACAGTAGTATCCCATTTCTCCTACTCTGAGTGAGATTGACCATACTCTCATGTATTTAAAAGCTATTTGTGGGCCAGGTGCAGTGATTCACAACTGTAATCCCACCTACTTAGTAGATGAAGATAGCAAGATCACTGTTCAAGGACAGTCTCAGCAAAAAGTTAGTGAGATCCTATTTCAAAGAACAAACT